TAATCACAGGCACAAATGTAAAAAGATGTTTTCAGTCGCCTTATTTCTTTATATTTTCGAGGAAAATGGGAAATAAGAACAGGGCAAAAACAGCTTGTGCAATTCTAACGTTACTGGTCAACACAGCTCACAGCTGTTAGCTGGGATGTTACTCAAAGAGTTACATTGGTTGGCTGGTGATGGCTGTGCTGATGCAAATCAGGCTCATTTTGACAAATTAGATTTATGATTGAAAATAATCTCTCTCTCTCTCAGACAGACATTGTTACTGATTTTGTTGCCTGTTATAATCAGGCTCTGGCTGCTGTGCTGAGGACAACACAGGTTTAGCTTTCGTGTCACTCTGTGTTCTTTGCTTCATGTTAGCATGTTTGTTTTGGACAGGCTTATAAAGCGTTGATGTGTCAGCAGCGTAACGCATGAATTTAAAACAGTAAGTTGTTACATTACCACATTCATGAAAAAATGTAGAGTGAATACAGCGATGTGTTACTTTGGACCAAACAGCAAACACTCAGCAATGCAAATCTTACCAACACCAGCAGCTCTGAGGGTTTGGCCTTCATGTAGAACCAGAGTTTCATCATCATCTAAACTCATCACCAACTCGTTTGTCTGAAAACAAAGGAAAGAAGATAAAAATTGCAAGTTTGAAATGCAAACTCTTTCTGAAATAAGATTATATAATAACTGAAATAATATTTCTGGAATATTCTGAGATCAATCCCAAATTCTGAAACTGGATTAAAGGGAATTAAATGATTTAGTTGTTGAAATACCAGCTGATTCAGATTTTGATTTCCTTTATTTTCTCTCACAGGGATCATGCCATTACAAAAGAGGGAAGTTATATTAAAGTGGAAGACAAAATCGTCAGGTCCCTTTGAAAATGTCATTTTTTAAAGTACTCCTTAAGGGCAGACCACAACACTTGTGTGTCCTACAAGCAGACACTCTACAGCCTTCACACAGATACCTTTGCTCCATGAGCCTGATGGATAATCTTCATCGTGTCTGTAAGAGGAAAAGGGATGGAGTCAGATTCAGAGCATAAATTTCACACCCACAAAGTTTACGTAGAGCTTTGGTCAAAACATTAGAGATATCATGAAGGTTCATTTCAGTTGTTGATGGTTTTTCTTCCCCCGTTGTGGAATGACTGCACAGCAGACATCTTTAATGGCCAACAAACAAGAACTGGGTGCAAAAGTGTGAATTTATTTTTACATTGTCTCTAATCCACACAGGGTCGATACACAACAGTGCTGAAGTGTTTCCAGCTGGGCGTCGTGCGTTTTAACCGATGCATGAAACGATACATTTTTAGACATAAGTTGTAACAGCCGCCGTTTTCTTTCAACGTTTGAGTCTAAGGTTTATTTTTTAGCACCTGACGGCTCTTTTTTTGCTTCTCATCCGTAAACACTCTGCATACTATTTCACATGATTCAGTTTATTTTGAAAAGTCTCAACATGATCTTGAACTTTATTGTGAAAGGTTTATGTTTAAAACCTTTTAAACATAAACCTTGTTGTTTTACCATTGTTGTTGCTAACGACATCTCAGTGTTTTAATAAAGGGTCAGTTCACTCAAATTACCAAACCACGTCAAG